TTCTTTACTACTTCAGCAACATTTTTATCAATCATCATTTTAGTTTTCCATTGAGGCATTCTTTTAATATTACCATGGACTCTTGCTAGAAGACCATGGTTTATTAGATGATTTCTGATATTTTCAGAAAAAGTTCTACCAACTCCTAACATATTGAGATAAGTTTCTTGACAAAGGGGTGTATTGTGATCCCAATGATAGAAAGTTCTTTTATTAGATCTGGTTTTCTTTTTGAGGCGTCTGCTGGTGCTTATTGACCCACCATCCATTGCTTTAAGTTGAGCCATTAAAAATATGTCTTGTTCAGACTTAGAGAGCTTGAAAGGATTCCCTTAATTCTGCAAATTCTTCTTTGGGAATTCTTGAAGAACAACCACATTTACAACCTTTTTCAAAAAATCAATTGCTTTTTCATATTCATTAGAACCATTATATTTGTTACCTTTGTTAATACTTTTCATATACACTTATCCCTATATATATAATTTTATGTTCACTTTGTAGTTTTTTCATATATAGTTGTTTTAAAATTGAAGAGATAACAAAATTGGTCCTGTGGTGATGAGCAAAAGAATTAAATTTGAGTGGATCTGCAAATAAATATCAGAAATATTTTCAAGTATATGGGGGATTTCCAGGAATATATGGTTAGGGACCTCTCTGACCAAAATTGAGTTTTTTGCATAATATATATCTATATTATAAGGATTACAATTGGTGAGAAAATCAGATCATATTTGTTTAATAAAAAAATGAGTGATCGGGTAACAAAGAACTTTTTAAATTAATTTGTGTAAAATCTAAAAAGAGATCTACAACCCTATTTTTTATTGTTGCACCAAAATTCGATAAATAATATATATATATAAATAATACAAACAAAAAATAATAAATATTAATAATAAAATGACAAGTAATGATAATAAAATTTAATTAGGGTTTGGGCAAAGGATATCTTTATATGGATTATCTACATGCTGACAAATGTTATTATATAAATATTTTTACGGTCATCTGTTAAAGGAGCAACTTCAAGAAAATTCAATTGTGCATTTTTATCAAATCCATTATTTTTAAGGAGATTATAAGAATATTCTTCTCCACCAGATTTTTTTGAAAAATAAACTATTCCAATATTATTTGGTGAATTATTAAAGTGAAAATGATAATGCTTTTTTATAATTGGTAAAGTTCTAAAATGATCTTCTAACAATAAATAAAGTCATACCACTTCCAACCTAGTCTATTATTATATCTAATTGACTTATTATATTTAGATGAATTGTTTATAACTGTCTCTACATCATCACAGTATTTATATGACTGGTCTTGTATAATTTTTTAATAGATCCAAATTTAGCATCACAAATGAATTTTGTATGTCCAGGTATCATAAAATTTATATAAATGTTCTCATACAAACCCAACATTGTTAACCATGACCAAAACCAAAGTGACAAATTGTTTTTATTCTGTCCAGAACAATTATCACATGTGACATAAAGATCTTTTTTATCAACATGATGATTTTTTTGGAGAAAATCAAAAACCATATTTAAAGTTGTGTTGGCTCCCTTTTTTGATTTTCCTTCTGGTAATTCATCTTCTCCTATAGTATAATTTGATTGATCACTCTTAACATCATTTGTATTACATATACCAAAAATGTGTATGATGAAAGGGGATTTAAAATAAATTGATCCAACTTGTTGAGGGGAAAATGGAGCTGCAACACTTTGGGCCCAATCATAACAAATATGTGTTATTGTTGAATCATTTGTTCTTTTTTCAATTATTTTATTTATTATAATGGCCTCTTTCTCACTCTGCATCCATTTGATGCTTTTTATATTCAAATTTGATATTTTCTTTTTCATCATCATCATTTGCAAATTTTAAATTTGTCTTAAATGCTTCACAAGTGTCACAAAGGTCAGTTCCAGGTGGTTGGAATTTGATGTATGGTGTTAATTGTTTCCATAGTTTGTAAAATGTAGTATGTGCAATAGGTCTAATGGATTCATATTCTGAATTAAAAGATTTTTTAAATTCTTCATATACTGTGGTATATTTCATATATGTTGGCAAATAAATTATTTCTTCTAATTCATCTCTAATTTTCATAGGAGATGGTAATCCATGTAAATTTGAATATTGCAATAAAAAATTCTTAACTAATTGTGCCATTCCAAGATTAACAATTACACATGATTTATTTTGAGGAATTTTATTAGTATTACCATGAATATGATGTATCAAACCATCTAACTTAAAATGATCTTGTAAAGCTAATAATTTGTCTTTACTAATACCACATAGTTTTAAAAAAACTGGTTGACAAATAGGTATTGATGAATTATACTGATAATTATATTTATGTTTATTTGTTTTGTTATTTTGATCCTGTAATTTAAAAACCATCAATTGTGTTTTAATAAAAGATCTAGTTCATATTTTTCTAATCCTTTTAATTGAAATTGTCTTTCTAAAAAATTTTTAAATCCAATTTTTTCAAAACATATTCTATTTATTTTTTTACAACAGCTGCAGTTTGATTTTTCTTCAAAAAATATTTCAAGTCTTGGATTGCATTAAGTACCAATTCATTTGGCTCATATTCTTCTAATCCTAAATTACTTGGGAAAATTAAATTTTCTGATGATAATTCCATGTCATCTTCTAAATTTATAATGTCTAAATTTAATTAGATATGAGATCACCATAAATTGAAATTAAATCTTCAGATGATTCAAAATTTGAAGACATGTTGTAGTTGAACAATTGTTTTTTGATAAATAAGGATTAAGATTTTATTTCTAATGTTTTATATTAGATGTTTTATTTTTTTAAGAAATTTTCACACTATTTATAAATAAATTAAACGAATAATAAATTTCGCCTTAAAATTCGGCCATTTCACCAAAATTTATTTTTAATAATTTTTGCCTCGCAAATTTGTTATATATGATTGTCGTCATCAAATTTTGGGGTTCAAAACAATCAATTTTCGTGTAACAAATTTTCGGGAGTTATTTTCTCAAAGTTCATTATACTTATAGACGGTTTTTGCTAGAAACCCCCCCCCCCCCATATATAACATTGTGGATATGATCATTACCTGATTCGTTAATCATTAAATATTATTTTTCTTTAAATTTTTAATGATGGCTACTTCATATCCAAGGATAATCCGTGGAATCACCGTTGATCGATTGGATAAGTTTACTTCACCTGATTATTTTTCAGACGTGAACCTATATTCTCAACTATATAAAAACCGAGTAAATCCCACAACCTGCGAAGGTTGCATTGAACTTGCCGTTTTTTCTGTCCCAGACCTTAAACGTGTCACTTTTGAAGAAGCAAAAAACGCCCATTATAAGCCATCAAAACTTGGCGAAAGTTTTGGTCCAAGTTGGGTAAATATTTTATTAGAAATAATTTTTTTTCATTCCGAAAAGATATTTTCTAAATAAACAAAAAATGAAATAATTATTTAGTCAACTCATTGGTTTCGTGTTAATGTTCAAATTCCGAATAATTGGGTTAATGAAGAAGTTCAATTATTATGGAATGCAAATAATGAAGGAATGGTATGGACTATTGATGGACTTCCTCTACAAGGGCTTACTGGCGGAGGTATATAAATTTTTGTTTTTGTGTCATTTTTCTTATAAAAATTTATAATATATAATATATATATTAATTAGGAGGTGATGATCGAAGGGTAGAATATGTTCTTACAAAAAATTCCAAAGGTGGCGACAAATTTGAATTTTATATTGAAATGGCATGTAATGGTATGAATGTATAATAATATTGATTTAAATCATCATCATCACATCTCATCATCGTCGTCATCATCATCATCATCATCATCATTATTTTATTCTAATTTATAATATTTAGGGATGTTTGGCAATGCTGATAATGGTGGTATAAATCCGCCAAACCCTAATAGATATTTCAAACTAGAGACATTGGAATTAGTGGTTCGAAATGAGGAGGCATGGAATCTCTTTTATGATTTTCAAATAATCAGGGGCGTAGTTAAAGATCTTCCTGCAAATTCTGTGAGATCCGCACAAGCTTTAACTACAGCAAACAGCATAATCAACAAATTTCAACTTGGAAATGATGAATCAATTAAAGAATGTAGAAAAATAGCAAAGAAATTTTTCGAGAATAAAAATGGTAGTTCCCAACATAATTTAATTGCTGTAGGTCATTGTCACATAGATACTGCTTGGCTTTGGTTGGTTATAAAATTTTAATAATTATTATTTTTCATTTTTCTAATTATTTAAAAAAATACTTAAAGAAGAATCCATAATAATTTATTAAATGATTAAATATACGTTATGTGTTAGGCCATTTGATGAGACAAAACGTAAAGTGGCTAGAAGTTGGTCTACACAAATTGGATTGATGGATCAATACCCTGATTATAAATTTGTTTGCTCTCAAGCACAACAATATGAATGGCTTAAAGATTATTATCCTAACCTATTTGAAAGAGTTAAAGAAAAGGCCACAAATGGACAATTCCTACCAATCGGAGGGGTATTTATTATTTAATACTATTATTATTATTACTCACCAATTATTATTATTTTTTGAATCCTTGATTTTTTTTTCTATCTAGACTTGGGTTGAAATGGATTGTAATATTCCAAGTGGCGAATCATTTTGTAGACAATTTTTATATGGGTAAATGAATAAAAATTTTTTTTTAATACAATGATAATAGTTTTATTGATTTTATTAAATTTTTTTAGCCAACGATTCTTTGAAAAAACTTTCGGTAAAAAATGTAAGGTGTTTTGGCTTCCAGATACCTTTGGTTATTCAGCACAATTACCACAAATAATTCAAAGTTCCGGAATGAAATATTTCTTTACACAAAAATTGTCATGGAATAATATTAATAAGGTGCCTTTGAGAAACCATCACCATTGCTCTATGAATATTATTTGACTTTGTTGTCGTAATTATTATTATTAATACAAATTTTTTTTATAATATAGTTTCCAAATACCACATTTCATTGGATTGGGCTTGATGGTAGTAAGGTAATCCATTAATAAATCAATTATTTATTCGGAATAAATATTTTTTTGTCTTTGCTGTTATCATCATCAAATTTTTTATTATTTAGGTTTTGACACACATGTGTCCTAGCGAGACGTAAGCTTTAAGATTACTTGTATATATCGAAATAAATAAATAAATAAATAAATAATTAATTTGATTATTTTTTAGATACGTTGCACAATGTACAGTTGGAGAACTTGTCAAAAGTGTTAATAATCATAATGATAAAGAGTATAGTAATGAAAGTTTACTTGTTTTTGGTAATGGTGATGGTGGCGGCGGACCATTATCTAGTATGATTGAACGTTTAAATCGTTTAAAAGATATTGTAAGTTTTATTTATAACTGATTTTTTTTTTTGGCTTAAAGAAATTATTAAGACCTTTATTAACGATTTTCATCATCATCTAGGATGGGCTTCCAAAAGTAGAGATGGGATCTGCAGACGAATTTTATGAAAGACTTGAAAAAAATTCAAAGGAATTGATGTCTTGGAAAGGAGAATTGGTATATATTTAATAGTTTATTGTCTTTTTATATATGTAAACATATATATTGAATTAATAATAAATATTAACAAACGAATTATGATAAGTATTTCGAACTCCATAGAGGTACCTATACATCTCATGGATATGCAAAAAAATACAATCGTAAATGTGAATTATTATTGCGAGATGTTGAATTGCTCTCCACCATATCTTATTATACTGAACCAAAAGATAACAAGTGAGAATTTTTTTAATGTTGAAATTTTAATAATTAATTAATATCAATATTAATATTCTATATTTTCTAAATTGTTATATTGTATATTGTAAATAAGATACCCTAAAAAGGCATTAGATAAATTATGGAAAATTGTATTATTGTAGGTTTATAAAATATTTTTTTTTGATCTGATTGGCTTTTTTTTTGGTTTTAAATATTATTGTTAAAAAATTTACAGAAATCAATTTCATGATGTTTTGCCTGGATCTTCAATTGAAATGGTCTATGATGATGCATATAAGGTATTTTTTTATTATGGTGATTATAAACTTATCTCAAGTAATTTTCTTAATTTAAAAAAAAATATAATTTTTTAATCTAGTTTTATGAAGAAGTCGAGAAAGTTGGTATGAAGAATCTATATATACTAATCTATATATACTTATAATTTCAAATTGCCCAAAAGCTTGTTAATATTTTGTTAAAATAAATAAATAATTTTTTTTAAAGGGAATGAACTCTTGAAGGAAGTAGTCGATGATGTTTTGAAAGTATCTTCAGTCACAGACAGTACTGAGAAGGGTCTATTGGTTTTTAATACATTATCATGGCCAAGAGCAGAGATAGTAAAGATTCCAGCATGTAATGGATTAGGTGCCTTACAACAACATTCTAAAGATAAAGAATCAGGATATGTTTTAGGTTTGTGAGATTTGAATCTTAATTAATTAATTAATATAATTTTAAATAATTAAATATATATTTTTTGTAGTTAAAGTTAATGAAATAAGTTCACAGGCCATTGATCCTAGTGAAGAAATAAAGATAAATCCTGTAAAAGGTATTCATATGATAATATATAAATTATAAATATGATAATAAATTTTAACTTAATTAATAACAATTTATATTATAAATATTTTAGTATTTGAAGTTAATGATGAATTCTATTGTTTGGAAAATGAATTTTTAAGTGTGAAGATTGACAAACATGGACGTATAACTAGTTTAGTTGACAGAGAATTCGAGTATGGAATCTTGGTGATTAATAATAATAATAGTAATAGTAAATATTTAATTGATTAATTGATTATCTATTTATTTAAGTCGAGAAATTATTCCTGAAGGCAAACTTGGAAATGTATTTAGAATATTTGAAGATATTGTAAGTTATTTTAAATCGTATAAAATTATTAAATGAAGATTTTTACTTATTGAAATATTTACTAATCAAAAAAATTTATTTTTAAAGCCAATATTTTGGGATGGTAAAAAGTTTAGAATAAATTCATTTTATTATTTAATTTTATTTTATTTTATTTATGACATTTTTTTTTAAAAAATTATTTTTGAAATTTAGCATGGGATGGTAAGTTATATTTAATTTTATATAATTATATTTGTGATATATGCATTATATAGATTTAATAATAATATATATATATATATATATTTATAGTTGAAATCTATCATTTACAAAAAAGTCATGAAGCAGGACTCGGGGTTGTTCAGGTAAATAATTTTAGAAAGATTTAAATATAAATAGGATATTAATACGTTATAAATAGATCAATAATATAAAGTACTTCGTTCAATAGATTCATGAAGAAGGACCATTCTATGCATCACTTTTATTGAAAACAAATTTAACAAGAACAAGTAGTTTAGAACAAGTAATCTCATTAAGCGCAGTCTCTCGAAGGTTAGATTTTGAAACAAAAGTTGATTGGAATGAAAATCGGCAATTCTTGGTATGTAAATATGTATGTTGATATAATCGATTAATTCATTATTAATCTGGAAAATTTTTTTGATTTATAGAAAGTGGAATTCCCGTTCGATATAAATAGTGACTATGTAAGTTATTTAAGTTTTTTGATTTAATTAATTAATAATAGTAATAATAATATTGTTGTTGTCATTGTTATTACTGCTATAATCAGGCTACATATGAAACACAATTTGGATTTATTCAACGACCTACACATTATAACACATCATGGGATTACGCTAAATTTGAAGTATGTGGACATAAATTTGCAGACTTGTCTGAATATGGATATGGAGTTGCTTTGATGAACGATTGTAAATATGGTAATGAAGATTATTAATAAATATATTATTATTGATATATTATTATTGATATATTGTTGATATAATACATATATACATAACATATTTATACCTTTATATAATGATAGGTTACTCTACTCATGATAATGTCATGAGGTTATCATTATTAAGATCACCAAAGGTTTGTTGTATATTTTTTCAAATTCTCGATTCGATTTGATTATTTATTATTACTATTGTTGTTTTTATTTAGGCGCCAGATGCAAACTGTGATATTTGTAAACATGAATTTAAATATGCAATTTTACCCCATAATAAATCATTTTTGGAATCTAATGTCGTTAAAGAAGCGTACCAATTCAATGTTCCTTTGATTACAAGGTATTTTGAATATACATACTTATTATATTATATGTTATAAAATTTATTAATTATTTTTTTATTGGGACAAGATTTGTTTCTAAGGAAACAATACGAAAACATGAGTCGAAATCATATTTTTCGATTGAAAATGCACCGAATGTAATTTTGGATACTGTAAAACGTGCAGAAGATTCAAATGAAATAGTTTTAAGATTATATGAAGCTTACGGTGGACATGCAAAAGCTAAATTAAAAAGGTAAAAATATTATTATTTTTTTGTAAATTTTATTTATTTTTAATTATATATAAATTAATCGATATTCCTTATTGTTATTATTTACGATTATTAGTTCATTCCAAATAGAAAGTTTATGTTTAACTAATATTTTAGAGGAGAAGCAAGAAGCTATTGATTATAATGTTAAAGATGGATCAATTATCAAATTCAAACCATTCCAAATCATCACATTAAAAGCCACTTTGAGGTGAGATAAAAGAAATAGTATGAATTAAAAAACGCTTTTTTCTAGTAAAAGTTTTAGATTATTTTTGATTATTTTGATTTTTTATGTGTTATCGTATAATTTTTTTAGTATTCAAGGTTGGACACTACTTTAAAAGATCCAAGTTGATTAAAAAAAGATGATTTTGATAATAATTATCAATTTGTATTTATTATTGTTATTTATTGTTATTTAATAAATAAATTTTGCAAGATTTTTCTAAAAATTCAATTAAATAAAATTATTTATTGTTATTATTATTATATTATTATATTATATTATATTATACGTTTATTATAACTAATTTGATGAACTTTTTGTATATTCACTAAAGTCCTTTATAAATGTTTCATATTTATTATCATCATCATCAACACCATCACCGTCACCAGCTTTGTTATTACCATCATCTCCATAATTACTAATATTTTCACTTCTTCTTTTGTTAATTTCATTAATTTCATTCTGAACCAATTTTTTATAAGAACCTTTTATGTTGTCAATATCATTACTACCAACATTATCATTATCACCAGTATTACTGAAATCAACTGTAATATGTGATAAATTCGTATATCTTAAAGTCAATAGATCCGGTTTGTTTCTTTTATTAGTGTTGAATGTTGGTAATGGAGATAATGTTGATTCTTTCTCATTATTATCGTTTTCATCTATAACGTTAATTATTTCACGATTATTTGTTGGTGGTGATGGTAATTTATCATTATATGATGATCTGTTGGATGATGGTGGCGGTGATAATTTATTAGATGATGGTTTTATTCCCTCATTCAATAAATATTGAATAAAATTTCCAATTCCTCCAAGATTTATTGCTTAAAATACAAAAAAGAAGGTATACGGTTAATTAATTAATTTAATTTATATGTTTTCTATTTTGTATATTTTTTATTTTTATAAATAATTACCAGTTATAGCCATCAAGTATAAAAAAACATGTTCAGCCTATATTAGAAATATTTAACATGTTAATTATTAATTAATTATATTTGTGAACAAAAAAGATGGCACTTACATTTGATAAACGAGTCAATTGATAGATGAGAAGTGGAATCTATTAATTACAATAATTATAATTATTAATATTGTTCTTTGTGTTAATTTTCGCGTTCGTTAATTATTTTTCGCGTTCGTTAATAATACTTACAAGTTGTAAAATAGAAATAAACATATAAGAAATTAAATTTTTTAAAGATCTTTTTTCAAGATTATTATCATTATTATTATCATCAATGGTACGAATTTTAAGGAAGATTTGTAGATAAGAAAACACTGTAGATATTAATATTATTAACATCAAAGTAAATAATATTATGGGAATCGTTTTACTCTGGAGTTTTCCTTCACACCTATTAACGAACAATGACAACAACATTATTATTATCATTATTATTATTATTATTATTATTATTATTATTATTATTATTATTATTATTATTATTATTATTATTATTATTATTATGTTGATTTTATACAAACAATTATAACAATAATAAATACTTGCCAAAATTTTTGTGGGCCAAATTCGTTTGCCGATGAACATATTATAATCAATGATAACGTTATGGTAATGGCCCATAATTTATAGTCATAAATTCCATTATCTATTTCAATATTTTTACATACACGTAACCATGTTGCTATTGCTATTATACCAACTAAAAGAGCGTTTATCGCGAATAAAATTATTACAAGTCCTCCAATAACTGCACATGAAGACTGTGTCCAAGTTGTTTTATTAGCTGCTGTATAAGACTATAAAAATTAAATAATTAATTTATCAAATTTTTTATTTAAATGGATAAAAAATAAAAAACAAACTTACTAAATTTATCGTATGAATAAAAGATAAAAATGCATCTTTTTTAAAAAATTAATCGTGAAAAATAATGGTTAATATTAATCGATTAGTAAATAAATAAATAAATATTATTGTTAATTAGTAAATAAATAAATATTTGTTGGCAAGAAAATAAATATTATTTCTACCTGTTAATGCGATATAAAATGGCATTCTTAAAGATAATGTTATAATTTTATCTAGTTTCCAAACAATATAAGTTCCTTTAATAATTTCCAAGAAATGAAAATTAATTTTTTTAGAAAATTCGAAATATTAAACCCCCCACCCAAACTAAACAGAGTAAATAATACATACGATGTATAACATATAAACTACCGAGGAGATTCATTAATGAAGCGAGTAAACCAATTGTGACTACAAGATAAAAGTCTGTAATAGCATTTTTGTCGTCGCCAAGTGTTGTTGTTGTATTATTAGAATTATTAGAAATGGTTTCATAATTATCAATATTATTTTGGATGTTGTCGTCAAGACTTATTCCAAAAACATTATTATTATTATTCATCAAAATTATCAAAAATGGAAAAGTATATTTTAACATTATTATAATTGTTGACGTTATCGTTGTTGTTGTTGTTGTTGTGAGCGTGGATGAAAATCCGATCAAAATATAAAAATGTATAAAATAGTAAAATCTGACGATTTATTAAAAGTAAAATGAATAAATGAATGAATGTAAAAAAAAATTTTTAAAATTTAAAAATTAATAATATTTTTAAAGGGTAAATTACATAATTATTTAATTAATTATTTAATTATTTAATTAATCAATAGGAAATTTGTTTAGTTTTTCTTCGCGTTATTTGTTATTCTTCGTCAAAATTAATCTGTAATATATGTATAAATTTATTATTGTTTTCTTTTCGTGTTGCAAAACAAAATAAAGATTTACAAACAAATGTTAAACTACGTTACATCTAATAAATTACATATTTCATAAATTTAAATATTCTGGATACATTATTACATGTTTAACATAGATATAAACCATTTAGGTATCATTTAAGCTCTCACTTGAACACTCGTAAAGAGAAAAAAAATCAAGTGATTTGTGTTTGACAAATGATAATATCTCGTGTTACATATAATTTTATATTTGTAACCCAAAGAAATATCTTCCCAAAAAAATTAAAAAATGTCATTTCTATTACCTTTCTCACGTCGTTCTCAATATGATCCTATTGCTGATCCTATTCATTTCGAGAAACATTTTGATTCACCAGAAGTTGTTCGTGATATTATTTTAGGTCTTAGTGATGGCTTAACTGTAATCTATCTATTTATAATAACCATATACATATAATTTATATAAGATCATTGAATTTATTACATCTCTTAATAAATTTTATTCTATAAAAAAATCCATATATTTAAAAGGTACCTTTTGCTTTGGCTGCGGGCTTATCGGCTACAATGAGTAGTAAAACTGTACTTATCGCTGGGTTAGCAGGTACGTCATGAATATCGGTTTCAATAATAATTATATATACACAACTTAATATTAACTACAATAATAATTAATATGTGAACAATGTTAGAGTTGATTTCTGGAGCAATTTCTATGGGATTGGGTGGTTATCTTGCTACCAAATCCGAATCTGACCATTATGATACAGAAAGGATTAGGGAAGAATGGTAAAGAAAGAATATTCAAATAGAGAGATACATAGATGTATCGTAAAGATATATCATATATAGATATCATATATATCATACAATATATATAGGTACAGATATATTTACTTTTATAATTTTTATAGGGAAGTAAGGAATTGTATACAAGAAGAGATACAAGAGATTATTGGTTAGTAGTAATTCAAAAAGAAGAAAGTTCCTAATAACATTTCCCCAAGTTTAATTTAATTGACAATGTTATTATTAGATATTATGGAACCTTATGGACTTGATGAAAGAGCTTTGAAACCAATTATTCAAAGATTTAAAGATAATCCAGATAAATTTGTTGATTTTATGATGAAATTTGAACTGAATCTTGAAAAACCAGATCCTTCTAGATCATGGGTATTTTATATTTATATTTTATTATAATTAAAAAAGATTAATATATAATATTTCTCTCTTTCCCTTTTCTACATCTATGTGTATATATATATTTCTAGAAAAGTGCTTTAACAATTGGAATAGCATATTTTATTGGTGGTTTGATTCCATTGATACCATATTTTTTCGTTGATACACCATTTGTTGGTCTTTGTATTAGCAGTAGTATAACATTATTGTGTCTGGTTGTATTTGGGTTTATCAAATCACTGTTTATTGCTCCAAATAGAGCATATATAGCATCAATACAAACAGCATTTGTGGGTGCGTTAGCAGCTGGTTCTGCATATGGTGGGGTAACATTAATTGATCGCATTTTTCGAGAATAAAAATACAAAATTCTGTATTATGTACATGTTAACCAACTTTAGTTATATCTACATATATCTATATATATTATTATAAACATCAATTAATCACATTTATTATTTTATATATAATATATTTTTGTAAAAAACAATATTTTTAAAATAAATGACACATAATCACCCCACATTGTTTGTTGATTTTAGAGTTTTCATGTTTATTGATTTTCTCACGCATACATGGTATTCATACATGATATCATTCATATATTCACTTAATTGACAAAAAAAAGATTTTTATTCAACTTGAAAATTATGTGAATTGTCAATCTACGTTCTTTCTATATATGAGGAAGGAATATTATTGAGATTACTTTTCATGTGAATTACTCGAAACTTTAAATTTTTTTATGCATCAATGACAATTAATTAATTAATTTTTATTAACTAGCCAAAAATTCACGATCCAGCAATTATTCTACTTATGGTGTCTAAATTGATTAATTAAATTGTGTAAATTTGACACAGAGAAAAATTAATTGTGAAATTAGGATAAATTTTTATCGGGGGTTTTTTTAATGAGTAGATAGATAGATAAGATAGACAAGTAGGTTTGAATTTCTTTGTCAACAGATAATAGATGATAACAACAATGGCAATAATGACAATCTCGAGAAAAAAATTTTTGAATTTGATTTAGTTTTCGTTGGTCGCCCACGCGTAGTAAATAAGCCCATTTGCACGTGAAATTTCATAACGTGTTATTTTAAATCAATATCTATATATTCATCAGGTAGCATGATAACAGGTGAGTGCCAATTGAAATTTACTTACAAACTTCATTAAGAAGCAACTCAGGTCTTTATTGTTCTTTAATTTAATTGTTTCAACAGAATGAGGCTAAATAAAGTTATATGGGTGGATATGAATCGAATATATGTATATGTATATGAATGTATATGAATGAATGAGTGAATGAATTTTATCAATCAATTCAGGCAGTAAACAAACAAATTCCCATGTCGCAATAATAATAATCTTTGACTTTTTTTTTTGCAGTTAGAAGATAATACCAATCGGATAAAATGCGCTCAGATACATCGGATTAAGTTTTTTATTTTCTATTTTAAAAAAAAGAGAGATCCAATTATTCGATATATTCGGCATATTTGACGATTCATATGTTTTCGGATATTCTCGAGTACCCACAATATATATACATGATTTTTCATTCATAAAAGGTAAGTTCAAATTAATTTTTTCTTGATTAAGATCGAGAAATGCATTCATTCACATGTATTGCTGATTACATAATTTGTGCATGTATGAGCAAAAAATAGATAATGGATTACGAAAGCAGAAACGGACGAGCGAGTAGACATAATAATCGCTATTTTTATTGATTATCTTGATTATCGTTCGTCATCCCACTTTCCAACTTTCCATAAGGGAGATAATGAAGGTCGTACAAAAATGGTGAGGGTAACTAACCCTAACCACCTAACCAACTTGTTTGTGAGCATTTTACGACACAACGGAGAATATTAATATTTTGAGAGCCTTGACAATTAATTATTCGGGATTAGTTTACCTTCTCACTACACAAACATGTAAACCATTCAAATTTGTATTAGGCTTTACACAGGGAAATCCAATACTTTGGAAATTGGGAGTGTGTAAATAAGTCGATCCGTGCAAAATTTTTATCAGTGAAAAAAATTAATTAAACAAAATAAACAAACGGATTATACTATTGTTGTGATAAATATTATTTTATTATTATTATTATTTATTTATTTATTAATTAATTTCAAAAAAAAAAAAAAAACTAACAATCAATTGATATATTAGTAACTTATTCATACGTATTAGGAAGAGAGGATTATCTTCTCGAACTGTTCTCCAAATTTGTCGTGTAATGATGAATGCAATAAAATACATCTTGGAGAGAAAGTGGAAGAAATAGAAGTAAAAAAATATTGCACGAAGCAAAACACTATGTATTACATAGTCAATATATGTGTTATTATTATTATTACCAAATACTAACAACATTTCCTTTAAAAATCACATAATAAGAATATGTATGTATATGAAAATGTAGAAAGCAAATGGGAAATTCGTGCTTGCTCTTCTCTCCTTTAAAATACAACTGCTGCAAAGTAAATGTATGTTGTGTATGTGGGAATAATTATATTTAGTTAATTTAATATTGCATATTTTTACATTTTTACTCAGAGAAAATTTAAAAATACCTGCACCCGCAATTTAACTCTATTCAATAAATTAATTGATTTTTTTATTTTACAGTAATAATCATAATGATCTTTGATACACTGCTACCTACCGAAAATAACAACGACTATTATTAGCCAGTGACCCTGCTAGCCTTAACTGTTTGTTGCTTAACTAACCCAACCAATCACAATTACATATATGTCAAAGCACAATAAAGGTAGGACCAAAAGTCTCCAGATCCAAGTTTACCGAATTAGGGTAATTTATATATTGTGTAACAGACACCATCGCATAATGAATATACAATTTTCATTCTTTGTTTGGGCATTTCGAATCTTACCATAATTGATAAAATTACACTTGTCTTTCTTTTCTGTCATCATTGTTTAAAAAGAAAAAATGGGAAGTTTCGGAAAATTTTAACAAAAAAAGTAAAATTAAATAGTTTTTCGATCGAATCCAAACCTAAATTTCGAAATCGAAACCAAAATCGAGTTTACCTTCTAAAAAAAGAATGCACTTTTTCCCCTTTCTACCTTTAACGAGATACATTCGAACAATGCAAATAAAGACTAAGAGATATAAGTTTCGATATAACATTTGGTGGTTTCTGGATCTTTTTGAACCTGGTAAATGGAAAATTTCGAGTTATAATAATAATGAATTTTTCTTGAATCCTTGAATTTCATGCACAATATGCATACATGTATTGCTTAATAACTTAATATGGTTAAAAAGATCAAGAAAAAAATCGGGCGGTACTTTTTTTAGAAACAAACGTAACTTAATAAGTATACTATTTTTGTACAGATTGTAAGATTTATTGGGAAACAATCTTGAAGAAAAAAAAATATTATTTTAATGATTTTACCCATCCCAATCTTCTTGGCAATAATAATAACAAAATCAACATAGGAACATATACATGATCCAAAATTTTGAGTTTCTTTCTCCTAAATACCTGTAAAAAAAAAAAAGTCTAAATATATATAACGTTCATTATTACATAATTATTATGTTATTATGTAAACCTGTTAAATTTTCCTAATTGGATAAATTTCTACTTTTTTAAAAAAAAAATTGATTGGTCAATTTTTTTGTGCAACATCCGATTATACTATTATTTTTCTTTCCGAAACTTCATCCATAATTAAAAGTGAAAAAGAATGATTTATTTATTGATTGATTTATTTATTGATTTATTTATTGATTTATTGATTGATTGAACGACATATTTGATAATTAACAATAGTAGAAATGAGGTCTTTAGCATGAATAAGTGGGATGATTATAACCTCACCTGATATGCGAAAAAGCATATTTAGAAATACTTTGGCCTCTCGCGCAACATAGGTTTTTTAGCCACTTGGAATTTTTAATTCATTTTTCAGCCAGCTACATGTTTTTAATAGAAAATTTCCAAAACTTTAAAAAAAATGTATATATTTGGTTCTTGGAGTACACGTATTATTATATATATATAGAAGTAAGCAAAACATTGGAACTATACCGAGAAAGAAAAATAATTGACAAAAAAAAATAGAAAATAAAAAACGAAAACATTTTATTTCTTGAAAAGATCATGCATGCAAGAAAGACATTTATGTTTTGGTTTTTTAATTAATAAAATCACTTGGTTCAAATCCATCAAATATAGTCAGTCAATCAAATCCATCAAATTAATGGCAAAACCTTGCTTATTTATTTTCTTCCAATTAATTCATTAACACTAAATTCATTTTGTAAAGAGTTGGAATATTTTGAGAAAAAAAATTTAAGGCCATAAATAATATTATTATAATAATGTATGCACACTATTGGATTAGAAAAATCTTTAAAAAAGACAGTTTCTTTTTCAATTCGGTATTTTATTGAACAAAACTTTATCAGAATTAAACTTTAATCTTTTTTTTTTTTTACCATTAAAAAAAGAGGTTGAGCCAATAAAAAAAATTTTCTTGTGACACACGAGACCCTTAATTATGCAAAACATAGTATCTATAGGAAATAACAAACTTTAACTTTTACAAAGAGAAGATACTGTTATACTAATACTGATAATGACGATAATTACGATAATAAAATAACAATAAACAATAACAATAATAATAAATAATGATATAACCATATTAACAGAACAGTATTTGTTTTTTTACTCAGTGAAATTTGTCAACACAAATATAATAAATAAATTGCGCGCACACAATAATTATATTATATTTATTATCTCAGTTATAGAGTCTTTTTCTAGAATTTTTCTATTATGATCTTTTAACAAGTATTTCCGTTGTTTATTCACATGATTATACGTTGATGTGATTTTCGTATACACACACGCGACGACATTGGAAGTATATATGTTTTCTTTTTTGGGATAGGAAAGAATTAAAAATTAATAAAAATTAATTTTTAATTACTGAGAACACAATTTTAATATTTAATGAATTTAAAATCCAAAATATCCGTGAAACATTATCATGTATAAAAAAGATAATCTAATCAATATGCACATTTTTAATTTGTTTGACATTTGAATAATGAAACAACAAACAAACAAATAATAATTAAAAAGCCTTACACGACGTGAATTGGAAGTAAGAAAGAGAGTTTACATTGTCTCAAATATTAGCTTCCAGTGATGAGTCATATTTTGCCTCCCTGCATGTAGTAAGCCCAATTCATCAACAACGGTGATTCCAATACCACTAATTACTTGTGAGTTTTCCTGGCGTAATTTTTCACAAAGCACAAACAAAGATAACACAAATATTATAATCTTTAGATTGCACAAACTAATAAATTGACATTCGATTATTTAAATTAAAGTGCCACACAGATATTACTTTATGCGATTAAGAAATTAAATAAAGACAAGAGATTTATTTACTTGTAGAACTTTCTCTAGGTTGCGTTTGTTTCGTTATCGTACATGCAAGTAAAATAAAGATAATAATGCTCTTCATAGCAGTTGGGTCTGATTAAGTATAAATGAAAGAAATTGATTTTTTGCAATCATTTCGTTTTATATATGGATAATCTTGATAAGAAATAGATATATGACGGATATCAATCTTTAGAAAAAGATAAATTCTCTGCCGCTTAGCCGAACTTCATGTAGATGATACAAAATCTTTCGCGGATTACTGTTACAAAAGCTTTTATAACATCGATTGAAATCGTGTGCGACGTGCAATAAGGATCGGCAATATTTTCAGAATTGCATTTTAAGTCTTTTCCAAGTCGCCTCATCCTTACATTGTTTCAATTAGGGCAGATCGGTTCTTTATAAATACTTGCAAACAAAAAAAAAGATATTATTAATGTGATTAGTACAATCGAGATGTATGATGTATTGTTGTGAATAATAATTATATTGGTTGGGAAAAGTAAATTATCGAATTAATTAATACAATGAATTTGTTATATTGCCATTTATTTAAAATTTGGAACTTATGAACGTTGATAAGATCGAACCAAAAGATTTATTTATATGGGATCAAAAATCTTTACTTATAAAGGAAATAAATTTGACTTTTTGGAATCTTCAACAAAAAATATCTATCAGTCAGTCTGAACGCGTGAAATTAATAATGTAATGAAATGGGAAAGGTTTTTTAAAAAAAATCAAGGTAATATGTTATCATCATGTCGCAAAGGATTTTATGATACAAAAGAGAGTATGAATGAATGAACATGATGCAGACTTTGTGATTTCATTAAAGCACATGCTATAAGACTTGGGAAAAATGGATACTGGCCAATTGCAACAACTGTCGGCTGCTACATTTTCTGAATTGAACATGTGAATATATATATAACAAATATATAATGACAAATATAATAACAATATATATAAAAATATAATAATAAATATATATAAATAAAATTAAAATTTAACCACGTTGATAATGAATGAATGAATGAATGAATGAATGATACGAACATGAGAATATACGATGAATACGAATATTTATTGAATCCATATATATAGTAATCAATTAGCAAAATAACCATTTCCTTTAGTTTGATTTGCAAAACATTTATGAAATAATTCAATTGTGACATCATCTAGCAGCTTTCATTTCACTCGCGATTTTTATATAATCAATTGAAAACCCCAAAAAAAAAAATATATACACACATGACTTTTGTTTTAAAATTGTAATGTAATAATAGTTGTGCTATCAATTTTATTTATTTACTTCTTAGTTTTTTTGTTTTTTTTCATTACTTTCAAACTTTTTTTGTTTTTTTTTGTTCGACACTTTTTTTGACAGAATATAGAATAAAAAAATATATATATAGATAAAAAAAAAAATATAAAGACAATGTGAAATTATATATGACGGGTATATAATGGAAAAATATAGGAAGATGGAAATTTTGGAAATCAAAGAAGGGGAAAATATATATATATATACAAATGAATGTGTGATTAGAAAAAAAAAAGATATCTCACGTTGTTTTGTCTTGTTTTTTATCACAAAATTATAAAAAAAGAGGATATAATTACAAAAAAATTATTTATAAGAAAAAGGGTATGTATATATAATAAACTATTCGCGCACGTTGATTAAAAACCTTAATTAAATTAAATAAATCATATAAAAACATAAAAAATAATATATAATGAGATGAAGATTATTTTCTTGTATAAAACTTATAATGTTAAATTTTGCATAATTGTTTCCGTTTCCGTTTTCGTTTTGCTTTCGTTCAAATTTCGACAAAGGTAAAAAAATAGAGAAAATTTTCATATTTTCTTAAATTATAAAAAATCCAAAAAACATGCGCGAATAATAAATTTCCATTCTTATAATGCTTAAGCCATAATTAAATATACAAGTATTAATAAATTAATAGGTTGATATTGATATTAAATTGTGTAAATAAAATTATTCGTCGATGAAAAAGTTCTCAAGGAAATCCATTATCTTCTCCGAATGTGCCTTTGTTTGGTTCTAATGAACTATCCTCCTTTTGAGCTTTCATTGGAATATCAATTGGCTTGGTATTGGATGATGAAAAATAAGAAGATGTGTAATAATCTTCATCGTTGACATTATCGTCGTCATCGTCAAAATAATAATCTCGAGTTTGCTTGCCGTTGTAATTGTACAAACTATTTGCGCTAAGAATAACGATTTCATCGTTATGGCTCTCAGAACAAATGCTGGTGACAGAGGATGACAAGTTAGAGTAAGATGATGATAACGAGCCTGTTGGTGATTTAGAAAGATAATGAGAATCGGTGGATTGAGAACGGAAGATTTTTGTTGGTGCTATTGCTATGGAGAAGCGAAGGTTATGAGGTGGTGATGTTGAAGATGGTGATGATGGTGATGATGGTGAATTATAATAGTTATCCTCAAAAATATTGTTATTATCAATATACATTCTTTGAATTATTTAATTTTGATATTGTAAAAGGGTAAGATTAACACAAAAAATTTGTTTAAAAAAATTTTTTATTTATTTTTAAAAATTATTTGACAAACTAAAAAAAGATTTATTATAATATATTATTATTATTATTAATATTATTAGATATTCTTATTATTTCATTAATATCGAATTCCTTTGATCATGGAAATAGAAGAAAAAAATTTCTTTATCTTTTTTGAAAGATGTGAAAACTGTGATATGTGTTGGTAGGTATGGTAAAGGATTATTATCGTTTTGGAAGTTGTCAAATATGATTTATTTATATATAAAAAAATTGGAATATTAAAAAGTTAAAAAGCAGGTTTATTTATAATTATTTGTTTAATATAAAATATTAGATTAAAAAAAAATTTTTTAAATTAATTATAAAATTAATTATATATTTTAAATTAATTATATATAAATTAATTAACATATTTTAAACTGAAAATTTTTTTTTTTATGTTGCTATAATCTGGCCACCATATTACTTAATATATTTATAATCAAAATATAAGCAATTCATCATACCTCTACACAAAACAGCATTTGATTAAAATGATTATTAAATATTTAATATTTTCATTTATGCATCTTATTTATCATTTCATCAACGTTGTAAAACAATGATACTATCTGAATTTGGATAAATTATTTTTTACTTTTTTCTTTAAAATTTTTAATAATAGAATATTATTATTTATTGTTGAATTTTTATTTATTATTATTATTACCTTGTTTACCTTTTTGTTGTCTTGTTATTACGAAAGAATTTTAATTGGGATCAACATATGTGAAACAAAGTGCACATTTTTTATTATTGTCAAAAAGGAATGTAGTTTATTGTTACATTAATTGTTTATCAATACCATCAGTATGTGTGTATATATATATATATATTAATTATCTACCATTCATTACTAAACACTAAGATGAATCTTAGAGTTGATTAGTGATTTACATACGATGATATATATTTGGACGTGAATGTTGGGATGATGATGGGATTTTTTGGTTTTGTATGTTGATTATACGATGAAAATTTTAAGATCAATCGTGGGATTTTGTTTCAAAGAACCATATTCTCCCCTTAATTAAAAAAATTTTTAAATATTTAAAATTTAAGAAACAATTAAAAAAATTAAATTATTATTGCTATAATTGGAGTTGGAAATGATTTATAGTATTGTTGTATTGTTACACAAGGATTTTTTTTTTAAAAAAATAAAAATAAAAAAATAATATAGACAATTATTATCAACATTGTCAGTGGAAAATTACAATAATTGTGTTAAATAAAAAATAACAAACAATAAAAAAATAGTTTGTATTTTTTATATAGTTTTCCTACCAAATTTCGCCATTATGTTACTTTCTTATCTTTTGTAAGAGATGAGAGAGAGGGGGAGAAGAGAGTTAGAGGTGGACGAATTGATTAATAAACTGGAGAAATGCTAATCACGTCTTCTCCTCATTTGTCTACACACTGGAAAGAAAATAGAGAAACAAACACAATTAAACAAATGATTGTTTAATCAAGTAAATGATTTTGATTACTGTGTATATATAGGGAATTACCATTACATGTGCGTGTGCGTGCGTGTATTGAAAATGCATTTATTTAGAAATAATAAATGCAATTTAATTTTCTCATCTTTCGCTATTTTTATAATTTAATTTAACAAATATTTGTTATTTGTGGCATAAAATATATTTGATAAAGAAAAATTTCAACTGACATTTCAATTTAGCAAACAAAAAAACCGAATTAGAAGTTTAAATTAAAACTGTCATTATCAGAACCGGAATCTTGATTTACTCGGGCCCCTACTTAAATATTGTCGTAAAAAAAGTTTAATCGATGATTTACACGAATTCAAAATTTTCTCTTAAACCTTATTCTCGTAGGTTTTTATTGTAAATAACTAGATATATATACTTGATAGCCATGCAAATGTATGCCGTCTCAAAATATAAATTGTACACCACATTCAATTAACCAATGTGCGTTATTTTCCCAGGCATTTCATTTCATTACACACGTCGTCTTTTTTCAAATTCTTTCCAAAAAATGGGACACCTTGCACATATACAAGTTCAACAACTTGTTTTTTTTTTTTAATTTCCTTTTACAAAAAAATTTTTATCCCGCTCTTCAATATATTTTTAGATCAAAACGCACGCCATTCCCTTGTTTCGTAAAACGTGCTTATATACAAAATCAAATTTGCTTTTTTTTCATATCAAAAAGAGCTAATGGCTAAATAAAATATAAATATGGCTTTTATTATTTTTGTCATACATAATAATAATAAATAAATAACAAGCAATCTATTCTTTTCTGTACCTGGTCCTGAGTACTTAATTATCATATCTCTTTCTATTTCTCTCTTAGGTAAATAAATTTTGATGCTATTTTGGGTCTTTTTGATATTGAGGATATTAAAGGACTCTTTTGCATATAGAGGTAACCAAATAATTGTTTTTTTTGATCGTGTAACACGCAAAATTTCAATAAACCAAAAAATTGTTCATTCCCAAATTTATATTCACGTTTTCAGGCATAAAACTTCCAACTATGGAACAGGTGAACGAATGTACAGCTTAATTTAAGTTACCTTGTTCATCTTGATTATTATAAAGCTTTTTAATTTTTAATTTTTCAATTAATTTCAAATTTTGAATTAAAAATTTTTGCGTAACTTTTATATCCAGAAAATTGGGCAAAAAGATTTATGATTAGCCTAATAAGGTAATCGTAATCCCGTTTTTGGATTTTATCCATCTTTTTTCAAAAAGACTTAATAGTTGAATCTAGATCATTATTTCAAGTGATATTGTAATAAACAAATGCTGCAACAACAAGAACTCTGATTAAAAAATACACAAATAGTAAACAAACAAACAACAAATCAAAATGAGTAAATTAAGTAACATTAAATTCCCGGTTTTTTAAAGGAAACAGAACTAAACGCCCTTTTTCCGAATATTTTTTTATTATCGCCGTCAACGGAAAAATTCGCATGCAATTTATCTATATTGATATTAGTATACGGGACACTGCATAATCATTTTTTTTAGAAAATAGTTGTCCTTAATCGGAAGCAATCTACGAGGCCTATTAATATGATCTCTTCACAAAAAAAAAAAAAAGAAAAGCTCATTTAAAATGTAAATTGCGTAAAATTATTTCGCGTTCTGTAAAAATCGTCCGCATCTTTATTATTTTCTAATTTATAATTTGTTTGATTAATTAATTGAATTTATTTATTTTATTTTTAATCTAATTTATTTTGTTTACGTACGCGCCGTTGTCATTTTTAAGCTTTTAAAGAATTAAAAAGATTAAATAATAAACAAGAATAAACAACAACAAAAAACAATAATAAATAACAAATAATAATAAAAATTTATCTCGTTACCCCCAGAACCTTTCATTCCGAAATGTATTACGTGATGGTTTTGACTGAAACAAGCTGGGAACTTGTTGCAGGAAACTAAAATAATAACAAATAAATAAATAAATAAGTGATAAATAATAAATAACAACAATAACTACTACTACAAATGCATCATCTCTAATAGTTATTTTCTCAGAGTCGATGCTACTTCTCAATTGATGTATGTATGTATTTATTTATTTTTTTAAACTACTTGTCATTAAATATAATATAAAAATGGATCATTAATTAATTAATAATACACTTACTTATTTATTATTGTATATTACAGGTTTTATTACATATATACATAACATATTGTTGCATAATGCTTATCAAAAATGATAAGATAGTGGGATTATTGTTATCATTTGTTATTATTTCTACCCTACAGGTTAGTCCGTGCTAAGTGATCAACTATTTATCGTGATTCAAACGAAATATAGTATGTTATTTATTTATATTATTGTAATATATTATATAATTAGTATAAATGTTATTATTTATTGTTTATCTATTTGTATATGTTAAACTAAAGCATGCATAGTAAGGCTCGGTTAATTAGAGAGAGATAAGATAATAATAACAAACAATTGCATGTATAGTAATTTAATTAAAGAGAGATAAGATAATAAACATACGATGATGATAATAATTGATAATATAACATAACTGATAATGATTAAACAAAAAAAATATTGTTTTTCTACTTTTCATACTTTTCATAAAGAAGTTTACACGTTTTGTTGACACCCATTTATTTGACATTTTTTTGATGCATTGTTACAAATAAATAAGAAATTTATGTCACCCACGTGTGCAAATATTCGTAGCAAGTTAATTATAATAAAAAGTTTGCTGTAACGAGTGAGGCTCATCGTGACTGTAAATTCCTATATAAAAATTTGTGAATTAAATTTACAATGATTTGTTTCTTTATTTAAATAAAATAATTTTTTTACAAATTATTATTATTATTATTATTATTATTATTATTATTATTATTATTATTATTATTATTATTATTATTATTATTATTATTGCCATATGATTAATTCTATGTCTAGATTATGCAATTGAATGTTTATATTATGATGATTGATGTATGGAAGATGACTATATTTTAAGACTACTATACATGAGCGTAAAGAATAAAAACGAAATTAACTAATCACAATCGAGAAAAGTGAAGAGAGGGAGGGGAAAGAGGAGAAAGTCTATGGAAATCGCATGTATAGCTTTATCGCTTTTGAGAAACAAGCAATAAAATTTTTTCAATGCGAATTATCAATTGCTATTATTAATCAAGTATTTACAAAAATTGTGCCAGCAACCCAAATTTATTTTTAAAAAAAAATTTCAAGGAATATTAATGCGAAATTAATGTTTTTTTCTATTATCGTTATTTTTTGTTATTAATTAATTAGATTAGTTTAGATATTATAATAATTTCAAAAATGTGCACAACTACAATCGTAAGTCATTAAGTTATGTGACAAAATTTTAGATCCGTTTATCGGTCCACAAGCAACATAGCAAAGCAAACAAATGCTAAGCGCGCAAACTGTATGAAGAATTGAATTTGTCCATGGTTCAAGGTCATTTAGATAAGTGTTTTTTGTTGTAGATATGTCGTCGATACAATGTGTGTCTATGTTAAAATCACTTTTTAAATCTGATAATTTTGATGAAATTATTGAGCTCAAGGCTGCACCTTTCATTTTCAAAGTAAAGATGGCATTATTATTACCATTACCGGCGGAAATAGTTGTAGTCGTGGCAGTAATAGATGGCATTGTTGTTTTTTTTTGTATTAATGTTTTGGGAATAATGACAGGTAGGAGGTTAAAGAGTAAAGAAGTTGGAGAATTATTTAATGGTGAGGAATGGAATTCTCAAAGGATGAGAGAGAGAGAGAGAGAGAGAGAGAGAGAGAGAGAGAGAGAGAGAGAGAGAGAGAGAGAGAGAGAGAGAGAGAGAGTAGAGATTAAAAAATTTGATATGGATGATATATCAAATGTATAATTGAAAAGAATGTGGATTATTAGATGATAATTATGAAAAATGGTCAAAATTCTTTAAATTATAAATTTGTTAGAATTCGTTCTTTGAATTAAAAGAATTTTTTTTTAAGAAATAAAATTGAACAAATATTGATATTTATTTATTCATCAAGCAAAATTATTACATATTTTGTATTACAAATATAGTAATTAGATTAATTGCAGGAAATTCGTGTAATATTTTTATAAATTAAAAATTTCTTTTTTGAAAATTCGTAAAACTAATTTACTAAATAGTAATAGTAATGTGTACTTATATTTGATAACGGTCATAAAAACAAAAAAACAAAAACAAAGCAATCAATTAAGGTAATTAAAAATGGATAAAAATGATGACATCAAAATAATTCCTGTTAAAGACTTTAAAGGTATATTAATTAATACATTAAATTATCCATTAATTATCCATTAAATTATCTATTAAATTATCTATTATTATTGTACAAGATAAAGAAAAATGTCATAGTATTAGATTTGAAGTATTTGTTAAAGAGCAAAATTGTTCACCCGAAGGAGAAATTGATGAGTAAGCATATTGATATATATATGTGACTCATTTATTTATATATGTGTGTGTGTGTGTAATGCGTGTATAAGATAATTAATTATTTTTTGTTTCATCATTATTATAGATATGATACAGATCCAAATTGTTATTATCTATTAGCATTGAAAAATTCAATTCCAATTGGCACCGTTAGAATTCATTCATATGATGATAATAAACATCTCACATCTTCATCCAAATCTTCTTCATCATATACATCATCATCTTCATTAGTAAAAAGAAAATGTAAAATAGGTAGACTTTCAGTAATTAAACAATATAGATCTCAAGGAATTGGAACAAGATTATTGGAAGAAATCGAAAAGTTTGGATATAATGAATTGAAAATTTCAAATTTTATTTTACATGCTCAATTTGATAAAAAAGATTGGTATGAACAAAGGGGTTATAAAATATCATTATCATCCAAATATAGCAACTATAATGATAATAATTATGAAATATTTTATGAAGAGAATATTCCACACGTTAGAATGGAAAAGCAATTTACAAATGTATAAGGAATAAATAAATTTAAATTAATAAATTTCTTTCTTTTGTAATGAAAATTAAGGATCCCAATCAATTATTTAAAAATGTGAAGTTCACACCAATAATAATTATTTTACCGCTTTTCTTGGTAAGATTTTCGTAAAGTTGCTGCTGATCTAGTTAGCAAAATAAAATTTTGATTAAAAAATAAATCAAATCAATAAAATAATTAATTAATGGATGATTTTGTGGATTCAGTGAATTATTATTATATTATTGTTATTGTAATCTCGGCGTTTGTAGCTTTGATTACAAGTAAGTTAAAAAATTATTGGGAGTTCTTATAAAATAATTAATTTGATTAATTTAATAATAATTTATATTATCTCAAAAAATACAAGTAATTGGCTTTTTTAGAAAGAAAACAAAAAAAAATACATTTTTGATATTGGGCTTAAGTGATTCTGGCAAAACCTCTTTATTTGGAAAAGTATATATAATATAATCATAATCACTATTTATATTTTATTTTTAATAATAATTATAAGCTTGAAAAAAATTTTTTTTAAAGTTACAATATGAAAAATCAATACAAACACATACATCAATGAAAGAAAATGAAGGTTATATTAAACTATACGAAGATGTAAATATCATTCCCTTTCTTTTTGTCTTTTTTGTCTGTTTCTCTTTCCCAAGATCATTCGTTATTATTATTAATGTGATTTAATTTTTAATTTTAGAGTATAGAATTAACAAAGGATCAAATCCATTTTGTGGATATTCCAGGACATGAGAAATTACGTTTTAAATTCACAGATTTTATACCAATCACACATGGAATAGTTTTTTGTATTGATAGTTCAACTTTTACAAGAAACATAAGATCTAATGCAGAGTACGTATTTATAATTTTTCATAATTGTAATATAATTTAACATTTAACATAATATAATTAAATATATATGTGTGCCTATATGTTTTGTATGTAACAATAGGTATTTGTATGACATATTTTCAAATAAAGATGTAAATAAATTTAAGATTAGAACATTAATAATATGCAATAAGAGTGATTTAATAACAGCCTTGCCACCAGAACGTGTTAAAACATTATTGGAAAATGAAATGTAAACGATATTCAATTCCAATGGCAATATTTTTTATTATTAATAACGATCAAGCAATTAATCAATTAATTGATGATAATAAATATGATTATTATTAGAAATCGACTTCGAAGTACACGCACAGCAGCTTTAGATCATCAAGGTTCATCATCGATGGAAGACGTTGACGAAATGGAATTCTTAGGATATGAGACGGAAGATTTTAAATTTGAACATTTAGAAAATGATGTTGAATTTAAAAAATGTTCAGTGGAAAATAATGAAATTTCCGAAATTAAATATTGGATTTCTGATGTTTATAATGGAAATTAATTAATCAATTAATATAATGTGAAAAAGGCGTAAGTGGAGAGAGTTTGGTTGGTATATATATCTATATATCAAAGTATTGATTGGAAAACTTTTTATTTCTAAAAAAAAAAAAAAAAATTCTTGAATCTATAAAAATTTTTTTAAAAAAAAAGAATATATTAGCAATTACAAATAATAATAATAATAATTTATATAAATAAAATGTGAAATTCTGGCACAAAAAAATAAACAAGGACTTTATAAAACCTTGCTTTCTGTTTAAGAATATCATTAATAATTATTAATCTTATCTGATTATATACGAAATCATGTCATTTGAAAATATAATAATAATACAGATTCGTGGGTATCAGATGATGTTAAATAAAATATAAAAATATTCACCTAATAGTATTTGTTTCGTCAAACTTCCTTGTTCATGAGACTATATATTTATTTATAATCAATCCGCCGCATATATACTTCTTCGAATGAAAGTAAAAAGTCTCTCTAAATATACACCTTTTCTTTGTATATTATTACTAAATATAATATACATATAATTATTTATTAGTAATTAATATATATCATATATATCATATATATAATAGAACTCGAGAAAACGAGTAGTAATATAATAATCATAATCAGGAGGCATCTTTATCTACAGTTTTATCTCTTTAATTAGAGCTTCAGTTTGAAACAGCCTTATGCAATAAATCATCATTTATTTAATCATTATAAAAAGTAAAAGATGTAAAAATTTTTACCTGTCATTTTTAAAAAAACTAATATATAGTAACAGAGATTTTTTTTTTCCCCGTTTGTGTCATGGTAGAAATCAAAAAGTGTGATGATGTTTGTACTACCATTCAATATGAAGTAAAAGTAATGAAAATCACAGTTTGGGGCAGAAAGGATTTGATAGCTATTGCTATTGTTATTACCTTGAATGGATCCCTTTATGCGATATTATGTAAATTGCATAAATCATCGTCCTTGCTCTTTTTAATGAACCAATTTTAAACGAAATGCCAAGGTAAATTCATATTATAAGGTAAATATTATTATTACACTAGAATAAAGTAATGAATTATATATACATATGAAATCATATAAAAAAATAATAGTTTATTAAGAATTCTTAACTGATAAGATGAAAAGGCGGGACATTTCACCTGCATTATAAAAATCCCACGACGATGTAGAGATATAGATATTGGGTAATTATGTTTACTAATTCGATCATTCTATCTAAATACATAGGAATTAATTATATTTCATTATTATTATTTGTAAACAGGTATTGACGTAATCTTATATAAGTAAATAATTTAAACAAAAGATAGGCGTGACCACATATTAATACACTATGAAAAATGAAAAATACGCGCAGATGGGATGCATACCGAAAAAAAAAACTTTATCTCATATTTAATTGAGGAATGTGTTGATAGTATAATAGTTTATTTTTATTTTGTTGGTTGTTTTCAAAATCGAATGAATTAAATTATTCTAATAAAAATATATTATTGTTAATACTTCAAGAACTTGCTCATTATATGGATCATTATGATGTTTTATATTAGCTTTTATTTGACTATGTTTATAAATAAAGTTCAATACATTTGTTTATTTCTTTAAAAAAAGAAACACATACAGTTCACTCTCCCTATAACAGCCTTTACTATAACTGTTGTCGTTCTATAACAGACTGAGAATTTGAGCCCAATTAAAATTATCTCATATGTTTCATATATTGTCTATAACGGCTTTTCTTTGTTGAAACAGAAAGGGCCGTTATCGAGAGTAAGCTGTATGTACATAAAACTCTCATTATAGTAAACGCGAAGATTTTATATAAATGAATTAAGAATAGAAGAGTCATGTGATCGATTAATATGTAATCAGTGAAGTTTCCAACCATAGGCTTTTGAACCATAACAAGTGTCTGAAGAACATTTTATGGGTAAATTTGTTATGGATTTTGTGGGTGATGTGATAATTGGGACGGTACCTGTTGCTGCGGTTGTAAATGAGAAGAGAGTCCATACCTTTTCTCCTTTTAAATTATTATTATTACTATTCGTATTGTTGTACGGTGCGGGTCACTATAACACATGACAAATGTTTTTAAATAGCATTTTGAAAAGTTTAATCAGTAACATTATCTGGAAATGAGAAATATATTTTTTTACAATTTATTCTGCCTGCAACACTGCTCGCACTTTCTCTAATACTCCATAAATTTGGCAATATTTTCTAATCTATTTCAATGGTATATTCTCTTGAAGACCTTTTATGTATAATTACAATAGGGCATTGGGTGATTATATTTGAAATGGCATTATCAAAAATGTGTAGAAATTGGCATTTTTTGAGAATTGGTATGTGAAAACATAGTAAAGCCAAAACAACTGGTATGTAAAAATGGATATTATAAAAATAAATGGCGTGAAATTTTAGAGTATTTTTTTGATAACTGGGATTATATAAATGGGACAAAATCAAATTCCAAAAAAAACTTCGTTTGAAGTGATATGTAAAAAGAAGCAATTATTATTATGGTTACCATTAATTTCAAATGAAACCAATTATTCGAATAAAATCAAATAATTCGAATAATAATAATAACAACAATAGAACGAATATTGCCAATTCGAATATGCACATTGATAATGCACATTGATAATAATAATTAACTGATAGTATTAGTAATGGTATTAGTAATATGGATTATTTATAATTCTTTGTCAAATGTATACATGGGATGGTAATTACCTAATTACCGTAAATACGTAATCCGTAATTTATTACAAAATTAATTACAGGTGACAAAACTAATTACGGGCGATGAAATTAATTATCAATAACAACGAATGCAGAGTAAATGCTATTTGAAATCAAAGAAACTGAAATTTTCTATACAACCCCATTAACAATTAATAGCAGTGAAACTTCTTAATTATAAAAGATTGGACAATTAAATTTATCAAACAAAATATAATAGACAAGGATCTTTTTAAATAAATATTATTATTATATTAAAATGTATATCCTGAAATCTTTTTAAAAGCTAAAAGATATAAATAATGCGCACACAAAATTTATAATTTAAGTTTTATATGATGCCTTTTCTGATTCTTTTAATTTATATTTTCGTTTTTTACTATGTAAATTAAAAAAATTAAATCAATAAAATATCAAATAATTATAATTATAATAAATTTTTATATTTACCTAATTTTTACTCTTGGTTCAATTATATTGCGTTCTTGGAGACTACACATACGATCTTGAAATAAATTACCTTCAGGCTATTTTCAAAGTTTTTTTAATAATATATTAATTAATGAAAGATTAATTAATTAATTATTATCAAAAAAACCCCCCCAAATAAAATATACTTTTAATTTTCTTAAAGAGCCTGTTAATTCATCTGGTAATTGAATTTCAACTGGTAGTTTTTGAACTCTTTAAAAAAGATATATATTAAAATATTATTCCTCAAAATATAATGATAACAATAAACCACATACCTGTATTTTCCAATTTTTTTCTTTGGTAACTTTGATAATTCTTTTCTTATTAATTCTTTTTCAATTAATTTCTTTTCAGCATTGATTGTGTTTTGTTCAACAGTTTCTATTATCTCATTAAGCCTATTAAGGACAAATAAAATATATTATTATTACCATAATATCAATAACAATAAATTTTATTCTCACTCACTTTTCTAATTGTTTTCTTTTATTTTTTTTTGCAATTTTTTCTTCTTGTTCTTTCAACAACATTGATTTTTTCTTTTCTTTATTTCTCTCAGTTTTGGTTTTTTTATGTTGATTTTTGTTCGATGTAAAGACATTTTTATCATCACCATCATCATCACCATCTTCTTCTTGCTCTCCCTCCTCCTTTTCTGATAAATTATTGTTGTTGTTGCCATCATCATCAGCCATATCTTCAATGTTTGAAGACAACTCTAAATGGGGAAGTTCCTTTGCGATGCGTTCTTTCTTTAATAATTTATCTACTTCTTCTTCATGGGCAATTTTAAGAAGTAACTATGAATGGTAAAATTATTTAAAATGTTTATTACTAGTTATTATTAATATTAATAAATAATTATATACCTGATGATCTTCAAAAGTTGGATTATAACTAGCACCAGGATGTGGTTTATGAACAGCAGGAATAATCTCAGTTGGTTTCAATTTTAATGTTGGAGGTTCCTTAATAATAATAATTGGTATTTATATCAATAATAGTTGGATCATAAAATTATTGCAAATATACATATATTTACTTTAATCTTTCTTTTTTTAACAGGTTGTAAGAAATCACCATCATCGTTATCTTTAACTAAGATAAAATAATAAAAATTCAAAATTCAAAAATATCAAAATATCAAAAATATCAAAAATAGAATTTTTCTTACAATTATTAACATCATCATCTTCTTCTTTTGACCAAACATCATACTTTCCTGCATTTTTAATTGCATCACTAAGTAAATTGTTTTTTTCAAAAATAAATCTATTTTTATTTTTATTCCTTTTTTTTGTCAATTTTTCTAATCTTTTCTCAATAAATTTATCTGATACTTTGGTTTTTTTAAATTTTTTATATTGTAAAGACGACGCCTTATCATCATTACCCCCTTCTTTCTCATTTTGGTTGTTCTTTAGATTGTTATTATCAGATTTTTCAATTTTTAATTTTATTTTCCCTTGAACTTTATGTATAAAAAAAATCTAATTTATTAATTATCGAACTATGTTATTGTTATTATTATTATTATTATTATTATTATTTTATTTGAACATACTTTCTTCATCTCCAGTAACATCAAATGTAAATAATTTTTTATCTACTGTAAGATCTCCTTTACTTTTATTATTATTATCATTGTTATTAATGTTGTTATTATTACTACTACTAATAAATTATTTTCAATTATTATAATTATCGTTATCACTATTAATGAATATTTTTTAATACCTTGGTATAACTTTTTTTTTTAATTGCCTCTTCATCGCCTTTTTTTTTTTTTTTTTAATCAATGAAATTTTGCTGATCTTTATTTTTACTGATCACCACCATTGACTAAATACCAAATGCAAAGTTGTATAATACTACTATGTAAATGATTTCAGGAGGAACTAACTGGTGCAGGCAACGCTGGAATTTGGCCAAAGCCGAGATTTTCTCAATTTCGATAGCTTTGATATGTTTGTTGGTCAAAAACGGCAAACGGACACTGGGCGCAGGGAAAAACGAGTATAACAAAAAAATTAGAAGGACAACCCAAAAGAAAATAACCACTTTGCGCATATCACTATTTTCATATTGATACTTTAAAGGCATATCCTTACATGGAATTTGTTAATCCAAAAGTGTCGACCATGAAGTCAATCCAAGTGGAATAATGTTTGAGCTCCCACGCTAACTCGAGAAGGAAGCAAAGGTGGTCCCAAATAATGATAATGCTATATTAAAAAGTATTATTGCTGAAGGATGTCATATCATGTCTTTGAGGATATTAAGATATTTGCTTATTTTACAATATATTATTTAATACTGATGATGGTTTGAGGCTAGTTCGCAAAATTCAAAAGTGCAAGTCATTGAGTGGTGATAATCGTCAAGGAACATTTGAACAATGGATTGAAAGAAAACAAATTGAAGAGAAATGGATAAATTTTGTTAAAAAGCATCATGAGGAATTGGTGTGCTCCGAAAAAAAAACGAACCGAAAATGAGAAATGATATTAATGTCGAATTCCATTCGGAATAACGAAAACATATGTCTAGTATACTAGTAAACCGTTAGGCGCTTTATGAGGAATATGTTTTGCTTACTAAAAAAAAAGCTGATTTAGCACTTATTAATAATTACAAAGATAAAATTACTTGACATTGTTGAAGATGGTTTACCATCTAAAACCAAAGAGAAAAAATTAGACCCTTATTGAATTTATAACTTTGGATCGATTACTACAATTATCTTGTAGGTTATTTTAAAAAAGTTTGAAACAAGAAAGTATTGAAATTCAAAGGCCACATTATTGAGGGTTACATTTGTCATCAATCAAAAGCAAATCAAAAAAATTGTTACAATAAATTATTTTATTTATATTTTTATCACATGTGAAGTTGACTAATATTGATTAGTAAAAACTCATTTCTAATTCTTTTCAGCCAAGATAAAAGCTGTACGCCAATAAATCTTCAATAATTGATCATCTTCCCAACCTTCTGCTTCTTTCATCCTTGCAATCAATTTATCAACCGGGTTCTCAGCATTTGGGTATTTTAATGAAAATGTCTTATGACAGCTCCATGTCTAAAAATCATAAATAATAATAACAATAATCAGCTTTATTTATTTATATGATTACAAGTCAAAGGAATCAAACAATAATTACTTTTAAATATTTTTCATATTGAGAAACTGTCCAATCAGCTTCCATAAAACGATATTGCTCACTCTCTTTAGTTCCATCGTAAACCTCAAATTTAACATTTTTAAATAAACGTTCAGGAATATCAAATCCTCTATATAAATTATCCATTTCCAATACACCTTTCTCCCAATAATCACGCATCAAATTTGTAGTATAATCAACGAACAGTTCTGAAGCAGTTGGGTAATTATCAAAAGTATTACTACTATATCCCCAAATTGCAAGTGTGCCACCACCGGACGATGACGAAGGTGATTTAAGAACACGATAAGATTCCTCTAAAAATTTAGGTAAATCAAACCAATGAGCAGCCAAAGCAACGGTTAATAAATCAATCGAAGAATCACCAAATTGACCGAGATTTTCAGCGGTCGAGACCGAGTATGTAATATTTTTTGATTTTTTAACTGCATTTTCTAACATTTTCGCTGATGAATCTACACCGTAAACTTTTTTAAATGAATCAGCTAATACTTGAGCCACTTGACCTGTTCCGGTTCCCACGTCTAAGGCTGCATCAAATGATCCATTATGTGATTTATGATAATTGTAAATTTTTTCGAATAATTTTTGCGGATATCTTGAATATGTATTTGAAGAGGGAAAAAAAGAATTAAAAAAAAAATATTAAACAGTATAAAACTTATATTGAACTTACGTTGGGCGATATGCATTATATGCTGCACTATCATAATCTATTCTAGAAAATGTAGACATTTCTTTACTTATTTCAAGTTATTTTTGCCCAGAGAAACGCATTATATATATATATGTATATCGGATATCGGATGACAAATAATGTAACAACATCCATTCTGAAATGAAATAATAACAATAACAATGATTTTCGCATTTTGGTCTAAATATGAGTCATAAATTCTCATAATAAATAAATTAGATACTTCCAATTGAAAATGTTTTACAAGTATTACAGAATGTCGAAAAAAATAGAAAATTTTTTCGATTAATGATGCATCATGACAAAATTAAATCCTAGATTAGGGGAAAGTTATAAGATACACGGTGCAGATCATCTATGATCATTAATTGCTTATGGCCAACTTCAAAATACTAAAACAAAAAAAAATTATGTCATTTTAAAAATTTAACCGATAAGTTTTATTGTTAATGACTCAAGCTTCAAAACTTATTGGCTGGTTTTTTTTTAAACTGAAAATTGGCCGAGTCTTAGCATTTTGAAAATTCCGAATTTGTTATACACTAAAGAAATTGAGACTAAGTAAATTTCGTGTAACAACTTTTTTTTCATATAATATTTTCTACAATATACTTTTGATTTATTTGATTTATTTATTTCCTTTTTTTTTATTAATAGATAAAAGTTCTTTACAACAAAAAAGTTTAACGAACATACAGTGCAGGACACCTAATCCCGCAACTTACTGCGCCACGACGACGAATTTTGGGAAAAAATTTCCAATCAAAAATGCAATAAAAATTGTTTTGTCATGTGATATTTCCTAGTCATTCCATAAATAGTAAAATCGGCAATAAGAATAAACATTGGGTTACCTAATATGGATGTGATCATCAACTAAAAATTCAAAAACTTTTATTTTGTTTCAATTTGTTCATTTTTATATATATATAAATCGCGTGTAACGCGACAGTTTTGGGCTTAACATAGTAAACTTGTGCAACTTTGAGGCTTGATCTCTCCATGGTAATGTGACATATCAACAAAATGAAATCGTAGCTTTGTGGAGAAAGGTCTTAGCTTCAAAATCATGTTTTGTTTTTGTGTGTTACATTTCCATTTCTGGTATACTAAAGAATATACAAGACCAATAAAAAGTTGTGGGACTAGGTGTCCTGCACTATAGAGAATTATGTTATAGTGGAAATCATGTGATTTACGGCAATCTTTTACATTAATGGTTAATCTCTAAATAATGTGTGACTAACAAATTGAATTAATTATATTCTTTTTTTGATGGCAGCAACACTTGATTAATTTTTTTTTACAAACTGAAGAAGCAATAAATTTAAAACAATTTCTTCTACTGAAATTTCTGAACTACAGAATTCAATTGATGCATTAAACCTGAAAGATCCAATCACTGCAGAATGTTTTATTTGCAATGATGATAAAGCACCAACGCAAGAACCAACAGATGAAGAAATTATTAGAGCAGTAGATTCAAGTCCTGAGGTTGACGATTCAGATGAAGAGGAAGAAGTGGAAATGATGGTTATTTCTGATAAAGAGGCAAATAATTTTACAATTAGCTATCAAGAATTAAAAATGATTAATGGTTTAAAATCAAAAATTCATAAACATATCAGGATAATGCAAAACAACTTACACTAGACAGTTTTATTTAATAATAATTTATTTATTTTACTACGTATATATGTTATGCATGAATTTATTTGTGTTCCTAATAAAAAAAAAAAAAAAAATTAATCTCGTTATAGTGGACAAAAATGCCTGGAACCAAATTTCCACTATAACAAGCTTTGACTGTATTTTTTAATAGACTTATTATTATTTTATAGCTATATATATTGACGGAGAAGAAGCCTCTACTTTTTATACAAAATAAAAGGTAAAATCATTCTACCAAATATCTTTATATAAAAAATAAATAAATAATCAATTGTTATTTATGAAATATGTATGGCATTATAATTACAGATTTATTCAAGAATTTATATATATATTGAATAGGGAGGAGAAAAAGAAAAGACTGCAAGTTGTCATGCAGATTCTTTATATTGTTGATTAAATCTTCCAATTCAAATTTAATTTGCTGAGGTTTTGGTATATCTTCATTCTCTATTTCGTTATTATCAGCCAAATTTGGAGATTTCTTCACTGACAATTTCCAATCCAATTGGTGCAGCAAGAATGAAATGTGACGGATACCAAAATTATTTAATTACAAAGACTAAGCTTGGCACCTAATTGATGAATCATTAAAAATAATACCATTTAAAAATTATGCTGCTGTAATTGAGGAACCAGGAACACAGAAAAGTAAAACAAGTAGTAATGGTGAATATTTTAAGTTCAATGATAAATTGGAAGATGGACCATGAAACTATATAGGTTACTGCCACAGATGGGTCAATTCTTATAGTAAAAGACCCCAAAAAGGTTACTATTAAAAAATGCGTGACAACTTTATATCAAACCATGATTTTTGTTACTGACTTATCTATAGATTTGTCGGGAAGAGGATGAAAAGATGATAGATTAGTTAGTATTAGCAAGTCCGATAGGGTCAATCGGAAGAAATCAAAAAACTAGACATCCAGCTATTAATAAACAGAAGGAAAGTGAGAAAGACGAGAAATAATTTAAATGGTTCTTTTTATCTAAAACAAGAAATTTATTTATTTGTAAATGTTGAAATATGATTGCCTATTTCTTTAGAATTGAACCAGGGTCCAATTCCAAACGCTGACTGAATACGATAATTTAAGTTTACATGTATTTATATTTTCTACGTGGTAAGAAAATCTTATTATTTATGATCTGTGCAGCCTTTTCAATCTATCTTGCCAGACCCACAATTCCCACAATCGGAAAAAATTTAGAACATAGTGCTGACGATGGATCATCTACATTCATAATATTTGTATAACCGACTTCACCCAATCGAACAAACCGTCTTCCACGATGTCGACTTTGAATTCGTCATCGAATAACCTAATTTTAATAAAAGTATCATCACATTATTATCATTGATTATAATTAATTATTATAGATTATTATTGTTATCATTTTTACCTATAGTATGGATCGTCGCTGTTGTCGTCATTGTTATAATCATCATCATTATCATCACCATTATCACACAGACCTTCCTCTCCTCCGCAACAAACTAAAGAGAGAGAGAATCAAGATAAAATAAAATCAATAAAATTCCCAAACAAAATTAATGATAATATTGCGGATAATAATAAAGATAGAAGAATGATCCTTACACTCGTTATCACATAAACCAATTGGACACGAGTTTACTTTATGATTAATAATTATTTGACAAATTATTACGAAAATAATAACAAATAATTTAAAGTAAGTTTTATTCATGTTGTATACTTGTGTAAATTGGTTTTTTTTTTTTTTTAATAAAATTATTTATTTATCTTTTACGATGGCAAAAATGATGAATTATTTATACCAAAATTTTATATAAATTAATAATATAAATACTAAATACGTCCATGGCCTTCCTTATTATTAACTGCAAAACACTAAAATTTTTTTTGAAGATTATTCTATTTCCTAAATAGAGTTGATGGATGATCTTTCAATACGAAAATATTTGATCGAACCTTCTTCCACACGAGATAAGGAGTAATTTTTGCTGTTTCAGAAGTTTGAAATGGTATTGGACTTTCAAACTTTCATTTTCGGAGTTTCAAAACAGTTTCAGAATTTCTAAAAGGTTTCAAAATGGTTTCAGTTTCAAAGTTGGTGTTGATCGCCAAACTATTTTGGGGTCAAAGTTATACGTCAAATCAAAAGTCGAAACTAGTTTAGCCTTCGCGCAATGACTATTGTATGATACAAGGGTATACTTTGTAAGTAAGTAAGTAAGTAACTATCTTTAACATATATAAAAGAAGAAAAGGTTTCCGTGTTACGATGCCCTACTAAATGTCGTAATTTTTGTGTAGATTTTTTATTATTATATTTTGTGTAATATTTCACCTTTTTTTGTATGTTTCCCTAATCTAACGACTTTACCCAATTTTGAAATGTTTGGTTGAATGATAAACGGTTATGGTCATTTTACGTCACAGTACTAATTATTATCTGTTTGTCATGATTTGTGAAATTGAAAAACTTATTTGTTTTGGTTCAAAACGTTAGGGTTGAGCGAAACAGATATTTGACTGAAAGGAGATCGTGTTTCGCTTTAGATGTTTTTTGCATGGTGTCGACCGCTGTCTACTGTTAGGTCTTTGCCTTGCCCCGACGTTTCGGACTGTTCAAAATGACCAAAAACTGATGGTCTTGTCTTGGAACCTTTACCTCGGATCGTCAAAGGCTTGTCACACAACGTGTTAGTGATATTTTCTGGTCACGAGACCAGGGTTCAAAAACGTTTTGTTTCGTTGTCAATTTAAAAAAAAATGATCGTGTTGAATTAGAAAATTTTTTTGGATTTTATTTGAGAGAGATAGTGGGATGATCTGGATAAGAAAAACTTGATTTTGACCATTTGAAGGATAATGGATGGCCTGATTTCCTTTTGGAGAAAGCAATAAAATCGTTGATTAAAAATGAAAAAATTTCCTTTCGGGAAAAACAAATAAAATACGTCGATTGATAGAGAAAAAAAAGCTTGGTTGATTTTTTTTAAAACAATCGAAATTTGTAAATGACTTTAGATGTTTGCATGGAGCTTATTCTTCTATAGCGATAGACGAAAAAAAAACACGAGGAAAAGATCAGGACGAAAGATTTTAACAATCGAAATTTGCAAATGGCTCTTGATTCACACGAGAGTTCTTCTTTGCGAAGGATCTTTTTTCTTTTAATTAAGAAAAAAAAGGCTTAGTTGATTTTATTAAATTTATTCCATGATTTTTATTTGTGTAATCTAAAAAAATAAAATTAAACAGAAAAAGTAAACTGTTAAATACAAGACGTATGACGACATACGAAACTTCCAAAGCAAGTTTGTAAGATATACTGATGAACGTTTATCATAGCTTGTATCGAAATAAGTGTTAAA